TCATTTCTTCCGTGGCCGCCATTGCCTCACTTTAAAAATGATCTAGCAGCCCTGGCCAGTTTGGCTCAGCGGTTAGAGTGTTGGCCTGTGGTCCAGAGAGACCCTGGTTCGGTTCCTGCCAAGGGCACGTACCTCGGTTGCAGTTTGTCCCCGGCCCTGGTTGGGTCGTGCGGGTGGCAGGCACTCGATGTGTCCCTTTCACGTCGATGTCTTTCTCTCTCCCTCCCACTCTATCTGAACAAAAAAATGGAAAAATGTCCTCAGGTGAGGATAACAAAAATAAAAATAAATAAAAAATAAATAAAAATGATCTAGCAGCCCCAGCTGATGTGACTCAGTTGGTTGAAGGTCTTTCTGTGCTGGGAAAGGTCACCAGTTTGATTCCGGGTCAGGCACATACCCAGATTGTGGGTTTATGCAGGTTCGAGGTCAGGACGGGAGGAAACCAATTGATGTTTCTCTCTCACATTGATGTTTCTCTCCCTCTCTCCTACCCTCTCCTTCTCCCTTCCTCTCTAAAATCAATAAAAACATACTTTTAAAAAAATTATCTAGCAAAATATTCATTTGCTTACATGATTATTGATTCTCCCCCAGTGGACTGGAAAACCAACCAGGAAAGGTCCCTTACCAGTTGTTCCCAGGGCCTCAGCACATGCACAATGCCTGTCTGTCAAACAAATATTTGTTGAATGAATGAAGGCAAGAATAAATGAGTGAATGGAAGACGAATAGATTGCGAGTGATTTTGTTTCCCCTCCTAACAGTGAGACGATGTGTCCTGGCGCCTGTTTGCCGCAGCGCTGTATCCGCCTTGCCTGCACCTGCTCGACCTGTGCAGTACTCGCAGGTTGAATTGAGTAGAAGCAAATTGGAGGCGGCAGACCGGGGCCTCACAGCACGCCTGCAGGGCCGCAGGAAGCCTTCCCGAGCAGACTGGATGCAGATGAACTGATGTGGCAGGGATGTGCCTCAGGAGGCAGGGTAGAGGGCAGCTCGGTGGAAACAGACTTTCATGCAGAAGGAGCAGAGTGCAGAGCAGAGAGAAACCCAGCCTGGGAGTCGGGGGGGGGGGGGGGTGTCCAGGCTTAGATTACTTAACTGGGGGCATGACCTCGGATATAACCCCTCCTCTCTGGGCCTCGGTTTGCCCCTCTGTAAAAGAAGTGGGACAGATTTTATTATTTATAAGATTCCTCCTAGCCAAAACATTGCATGGTGCAAAGTTGGACATTGAAAATAAATGCCAGTTGCCCTGGCCGGTTTGGCTCAGCGGTTAGAGCGTCGGCCTGCGGTCCGGAGAGACCCGGGTTCGGTTCCCGCTAAGGGCATGTACTTCGGTTGCAGTTTGTCCCCGGCCCTGGTTGGTCATGCGGGTGGCAGCCACTCGATGTGTCCCTTTCACATCGATGTTTCTCTCTCTCTCTCTCTTCCTCTCTCTCCCTCCCACTCTATCTGTACAAAAAATGGAAAAATGTCCTCAGGTGAGGATGAAAAAAAAAACAAACAGAAAATAAATGCCAATTAAAAGAAGGTAACAAGCATCTTGTTCTGTCTGGAGGCCTGTGGTCTGTAGTTGATTCACTCCAGGCTGGGCCTCCCCTCCCCCGCCGTGCACACTCCTACACATGCGCACACAGAGGCCTCCCCAGCCCAAGGCCCTTCTCGACAGCCAGAGAAGAGCCAGGAGAAGAGGGGCAGAGCAAAGCATCCTCGAGATTCCATGTGTGATCCCATGTCCAGGAAAAGACTGAGGGTCAGAAGGAGAAGGAGGCCCATCCTCTGGAAGTCTGGGCCCGGTCCCACCACCAGCTTGGGGAAGGCCCAGTGCCCAGAGTCCTAGGCAACATTTCAATTCGGCGTTTTCTTCTTCCTCCCTAGAAATTGACCAGCCTATCCCACGGCCACCTGAAAATCTACTTTTCATAAGGTGGCACAAGTAAGATACAGCCTTCTGAAGTTTGTCCCCGGTCTAGGAAAGGCCAGCATGAGGTCCCTTCCCCAAGCCAGAGGCTGGCGTTTCCTAGAAATGCAAGTTCGATGGAGTAAAATCGAAGCAGGAGCCAGGTCAGGGCTCACAGGCGTAAGTGGATGCCCAGGGGCAGCCTCCGCGTGACTGGTAAACAGATGTGACAGGGATGTGTAGCTCTCAAGCTGAGGCTGGTTTTGACATTTTTAAATGATTGCATTTTAAATAGTTATATAAGGACCTACAATAACAGCTTCACGTTAGCCTCATGGCCTACAAAGACTGCTATTTACTACCTGGCCCTTGTCAGAAGTTTTGCCAGCCTTGACCCTAAACAACCTCTGCGTCCCCTGCCACGGGCAAAAATTAGAACCTCTACTGTGGTCCTGGGGAGCAGCCCCAGCCTTCAGCTCCGGACCACATCCCCAGTGAGGGTGATGGGGGCAGGGCAGCCATTCTCCTCTAGCCCACTATTCCCATTTCCCTCTTCCCAGCCCCTTCAAGGTCTCTAGAAGCTTCCCTTTCCTACTCCATTCCTCCTGTCCCTCCGGCTCCTACCTGTAACTTTCACTTCAGACCACCTCCCCCCCCCCCCCCAAGGCGCTCCACACACTGTCTTCGGTGATTTGTCTCTGTTGCGCCCCGATCACTTCCCCACTGGGACAGGGAAGCATATGAAGGCAGAGACCACGTTCTAACTGGTGTTCCAGTATCCCCAGCACACCAAGGAGTGCTGGGCCCACGCGAGTGCTCCCGAGATCCACGCCAGAGCAGAGCACGTGAAGATCATCCAGGTCTCACTCATGGGCTCCGCCTGCCACTTCTGGAAGGGACTTGGCACAAGGGGCCCCTGCACCAAGAGAAATACTTCGCTCCATACACCCCAGCCTAGAAGCGCTTATGTCTTTAACGCTAGAGTAACTCAAAACCCAACTACACGAAAAGATTCCCCAAGGGCTGGCACTGTTTCATGTTCCCCTCAGGGAGAGTCTCTGGGGTGAATCAAGGCACTGGGGCTTTTAAAGCATTTGAAAATATATATATATATATATATATATATATATATATATATATTTCTTTTTCTGAGTCTGTCATTGCTTAGGGTTCAACAGTCAAGGAGGCACAAAGCAGGTAGTGAGAAGGGGGCAGATGCCCTGCCGCCCAGAAGCCGTCCTTGCACAGAGCAGACCACGCACAGCCTGCTCTGCGCCGTGGTTGCCGGCGGGGGTAGCCGATGAACCCAGGGGTGGCTTCTTGCTGTGGGGGCCAAGAGGCAAGCTCTGGATAAAAAGCTTGGCTGAGGCCAGTCGATCTAATCTCCTCAGGAAGGTAAAGACGGTGGGAAATCAATGACAGCAGAGAAAGGGAGGTTGGGGGGTGGGCTTTAACCTCAGGCGCCCTAAGAGCCTTGACATTCAGGTTCCTCCCGCCAAGCATGTGAACAGGTGAACCATAGTGTGGAGTAAGCAGTGGCGCCTTCCCCACAACCACAGAACAGGTGCGCCGAGAAGACAGGGAGACTGAAATGCCTGCACTGCTCAGTGGGTGCCCCTCCCAGTGCCCCAGGACAGATGCCACAGGGATGACAGGCAGCAGCAGGGGACCAGATACCCAACTCCAGGGGTCCCTCCGGGTCCCCTCCTTCCACACAAAACAGGGAGACTCACTCTCTCCTTCCCTCCACTGCAGCCTGAGGATGTGTGAGCTTGCAGCCATTAACTGGGTACTTCACCGTGCAGGCTGCCGGGCACCGGGACACATCTAAGACCTGGGCACCACTCTCTCTGTTGCTTAAGCCTAAAGGAACTGATCTTCAAAGCCAAGGCAGTAACTTCTCTGTTGCCCTTAAGGGAGGGTTGAGCCTGGGATCAGGTGGCCCAGTCCCAATCGCGAGGTGTGTGCTCAAGTCCACACATTAGCTTTCAATCCAGAGAGGGCTTGGAGGTGTGGAGCTGAGCTTTGGCGCGATTTTGAGTTATAAATAAATAAAGTGCCTCTGACCTTCTTCCTTTGCCCCCACGTGTGATGACAACTGTCTTGTTTCCTTCCCCGATTGGCTGCTAACAGCTCCTGACTGGAAATGACTCCAGCCGGTCACAGGCACCGGCTTGATTACTGTGCAGGCATCTTATTTAAATCCACAGTTCCCAGACATCAGTTCAGCAGGTCCTCCCTCAGCCTCTGGAGACCTGGAGGCACCCTCACAACCAGCCACCAAGCTCCCTGCTGCTGCGGGGGAGGTGTGTGGGGGCCCCAGCCCACCCTGGCGACCTTGTAAAACACCCAGTCTTTGGATAATTCAGCAGGAATTCAGAGCCCCATGGGAATAGCCAACCCCAGAAAGAAACGGCAGCCAGTGTTATACCTACTGTGATGTTTTTCCAGTGAGAAGGAAACAAAGACATTCATTCTGAGTCTAGAGATTACTCCGGACAAGGCAGAAACCAGCCTTCGTTGTGGACAAGCAAATCCTGCCATTTGGCCTCTGGCTGCCTCAAACGAAGGGCGGTGTGTTCTCCTCCAGCCACCATGGTTGGCAGGGAGAGTGTATCAGGTGCTGTTCTCTCTGTCCCGCCATAGCTCTCACACCAGAGCCTCGTTTTGTGAACGAGCTTCGTGTCTGAGAACCAGGCCTGTTTCTCAGAGTGCTGGGAGCCATGGTAAGGAGGGCTTAAAACCTGCAGGCAAAGGAGAGTTCGGAAACCACAGCAGTTGGGGGGTGGGGGTTGAGGAGGGCTGGAGGACCCCATCACCCTCTGCCTTTAGCTCCATCCCACTCTATGCTGATGGCGGGGTCTAATACTAACATGTAACAGGGGTGTCCTTGTCCTCCGTGGCCTGAGAGGAACAGAATTCACTCCATCAGAGGGGACCCAGCAAAAAAAAATGTTGCTGATCAGATCATTAGCATTACCAGTTTTCTACCCCAGTCAACATGACATTTGCTCTGACTCCAAAACCAGAAACAGCAAGTGACAGACTATATTTGAAAAAAAAGCATCAGCTGTAGAAAAACTAACACTTGCCTCAACCAAGTAATGTTTTATTTCCTGGGATAAAAGCAAAGAGAATGAATTATCAGAAGCCTTCCTCCAACATCATTAACATGCTTTTTGAAGAAAGTTACAAGAATTGTTTAAGGCGCACAGAAAAATCCAGACTTGCCTTTCTTCCAGAACATTCCCTGCCCCAGCTGCAAAGCACCGAACCGACGTCCCAGAAAAGAGAGAGGCGTACAGACACAGGAACCAGACCCTGTAACCGGGGTCTCTGGCTCTAATATGTTTCACAGAAAAACATCACACTAACTCTCTCTTCCATAAAGACAACATATGTCTAGAAAATATATCCAAAATATCTCCATCTGAGCAACAGTACAAAAATCCACTCACCAGCCATAAAAATATTTCCCCTATACACAAATATAATCATATGTAAAGCAAATTGGAACAGGGATAGCGGCAGTTATAAAATCTCTTGGGATCTGGGCTATTTAAAGTCCCTTTTGTTTGGGTTACTCCTCTGGTGGGTATAGGAAACTGGCCACAAATACATCCATCTCGTAGTGCTCACCATTTTAACGGCTCTTGCGTCATGGAATGTGGCACTTTTTAAAAATAGGCGACCCTTGGTGGCATGGAAGAAAGAGGAAAAATGGGGGGACCCAGGGAAAGAAGGAGGGAGGGCAGGAGTGAAAGAAAGGACATATTTGAAATATATGGGGGTTCGAAACACTCTATGGTATAAGGCAGATACCCAGGTTCAGGAGGCCTGTGCTCTCCCCACTAGCTAGCCTGGACCCCGCCTTACAAATCTGTCTCCCGGCTGGTATCCAGGCAGAGGGCATACAGGGACCTCCGCAGGTCCACATTGCTCTTGGCCTTCAGGTTACACTTCTCTAGGGAGCAGCTGCCCCTTTGGGCTCCCTCAGCATTCTCCAGGGACCCCTTGCAGAAGGACCCCTTGTTCCAGCTGGCCTTCCGCTGGCCCCTGCTGTCCAGCCCCGTCCCCTGGCTCTGGCTGCCCTGCCCCTCCTTAAGGGCTGCGTGCTCCTCGTGGTCTGTGGTCTCCCGGTGGTCCGTCTCCCGGTGGTAGAAGTAGTTGAAGTTGGAGACAATGACGGGCACCGGCAGGGCGATGGTGAGGACCCCAGCGATGGCACACAGCGAGCCCACGATCTTGCCCCCAACAGTGACTGGCCTCATGTCCCCATAGCCCACCGTGGTCATGGTAACTACCGCCCACCAGAAAGCATCTGGGATGCTGGAGAAATGGGTGTTCTGGTTGTCAGTCTCTGCGAAGTAGACAGCGCTGGAGAAGAGGATGACTCCGATGAAGAGGAAGAAGATGAGCAGGCCCAGCTCCCGCATGGAGGCCTGCAAGGTCTTGCCCAGGATCTGTAGCCCCTTGGAGTGACGCGAGAGCTTGAATATGCGGAACACCCGGACCAGGCGGATCACTCTGAGGATGGCCAGGGACATGGCCTGCTGCCCATTCTGGCCCCCGCCTCCGCCGCCCCCGGGCTGTTGCTCGGCCAGCTCGGTGCCCAAGGTGATGAAGTAGGGGAAGATGGCCACCACGTCGATGATATTCATGATGTTCCGGGAGAACTCTGTCTTGCTGGGGCAGGCGAAGAAACGAACAAGCAGCTCAAAGGTGAACCAGATGACGCACGTGGTCTCTACAATGAAGAAGGGGTCGGCCAGGGTCCTGGGCAGGAGAGGTGCCACCGTTGGGCCAGAGGGAGGCGCCCCGGCTCCGCTGCCGTTGACCCCTGGGGCCGGCCCGGCAGGCGGGTGGGCCACCGGGGGATGGCGGAGCAGCTCTCGTTCATCTCTGAACTCAGGCAAGGTCTCCAGGCAGAAGGTGATGATGGAGATGAGGATGACCAAGACCGAGACGATGGCGATGGCCCGCGCGGACCCCGAGCTCTCCGGGTATTCGAAGATGAGCCACACCTGGCGCTGGAACTCGTTGCGGGGCAGGGGCTTCTCCTCGTCTTTAATGAACCCCTCGTCCTCCCGGAAGCGCTCCATAGCCTCGTCCCCCAGCTGGTAGAAGCGAATCTCGTCTGCGAACACGTCCAGGGAGACATTGACCGGCCTCCGCAGCCGGCCCCCCGACTGGTAGTAGTACAGGATGCCGTCGAAGCTGGGCCGGTTGCGGTCGAAGAAGTACTCGTTCCTCAGGGGGTCGAAGTAGCGCAGGCGCTTGGCCGGGTCCCCCAGGAGGGTGTTGGGGAACTGCGCCAGGGTGCCCAGCTGCGTCTCGAAGCGCAGCCCGGAGATGTTGATGAGGACGCGCTGGTGGTGCAGCACCGCGGCGCTCGGCACCCGGTCCTCCGCCATGCCCAGGGCGGGGTCGCCTTCTCCCTCCTCGTCCCCCGGGGGAAGCTGCCCCGGCTGCGGCGGCTCCTGGGGCGGCGGTGGCAAGGGCCGTCCTCCCGGCTCCGCGCTCCTCTGCGCGCCGCATCCCCTCGGCGCCGGCTCTTTGGGTCCAGCGCTGGGCCCAGCCGTCGAGGGGCACTGCAGCTCCCCCCCTGTGGCTTGGCCACAGCCTGCCGGGGCCTCGTCTCCTCCCCTGACGGTCATGGCCCCGCCGTTCTCCAGCGGCACCGGGGAGACCTCCATGGCCCTGGGGCCGGGGGCATGCTGCGCCCCTGCCGCTCCCCCGACCCCCCGCCCTCACCCCGCGAGCGCCTCGCGTCCGGCTCCTCTCCCGCCGTCGGCCGGGCGCACAGTGGGGCGGACTGGGGTGGCTGGCGCGGTCCCCTCGCTTGGTCCTGACGTCAAGAAGCCGCTGCCCGGCTCGCTGCCTTTCTCTCGGTTCTGGCCGCCCGTTACCAAGCAGCCAAACACCTCCTTCCAACCGATGCAACCTTCAGCCGCCCCTCTCGCGCTGCGCGGCGGCGCCCGGCCTCCACCCTGAGCGCTCCCCCGCCTCCTCCCCTCCCCTGCCCTGCCCTCCCCCGCCTCCTGCTCTCCCCTGCTCTCCCCTGCTCTCCCCTGCTCTCCCCTGCCTCCTCCCCTCCCCTTCCTCCCGCCCCCCTCCCCGGTACCGTGGCGGCGGGTTTCTCTCCGGAGGGCGCAGCTGGGGCCCGGAGCAGGGGAGGGAGGGGGGCTGAGAAGGTCGCAGCCAGGCGAGGGAGGGAGGGTGGAGGAAGTGGGGGGGATGGAGGAACAGGTTGTACTGAGAGCGCTGAAACTCCCAGGGCAACCAGATGAGAATAGCTCTGGATTTCAGTTCACCTGGGAGCCCGCTGAACACAGAGTGGACTCCAGGGGAAATTAATTGTCATAGGTTGAAGGGATGAGTCTTTGGCTGCGTTGGAGTAAGAGAGAAGAGACAACAGTCCTTTTCACATTTCTGCCTTGGAAGAGTAACGGTTCTTTCTTTGGGGAAAAATTCACACTGGAAGGGATGTGGCAGAGCTATGAGTCTTGAAAGGTGATAGATAGATAGATAGATAGATAGATAGATAGATAGATAGATAGATAGATAGATGACAATAGACAGATAGATGATTGATTGGTAAATAGGTGACTGATAGATAAATCTATCTCCAGACCAATGGAGAAGCATGCCTCTTCCCCACTTCCTATAACCCACCAAAAGGTACTGGGTGGGACCTTGCAGCGCCCCTGCCCTTGCCCTGGGGAAAGCCCTCATTCTCAGCCCATCAGCACGGTCCTCAAGACAGACCAGCACTGCAGGACTCTGCAGGTTTGCTGCCTGGTCTCAGATCCCAGCAGACACACACACCCCTCCACCCGCTCCACAAATCCAGGTGCAAAAACCTTAACAGGGAACGGGAGGAGGACGAAGAGATCCTGGTGAGCACTGTCCTGCCGGGTGAAGGAACCTACAGCTGCCGGAGGGAGGGTGTGTGGGGACCGTTACAAGAGACCAGGGAGGCTGTGAAGCTCCAGGGCTAGAGGACTCCCAGGAGAACAAGCCCAACACTTTGCTCTTGTGATGCCCCGTCCTCAGCACTGGTGTATTCCTACAGCATCCTCTTCTGAAATGCTGTGATTGTCCTCGTTTTATAGATGGGGAAATGAGACACAAGGAGACCGACTAACTTGCCCAAGGTCATATAGGTAGACAGTGGCAATGCTGGATTCAAACCTCAGCAAGCAGAGTTTGGACTGTTGCTCCCTCCACTCCACTCTGTAGAAATGTGTGACCCCCATTCCAGATGCAAGTGCTCTTTCCCCAGCACGGGGCCTGAGAGCTGTAGCTCCCTCCTGCGGGAGGCAGGGGGTGGCTAAGATAACAGCTAAGTCCTCTGGGTAACCCCGCTAGGCTATCTGCCCTTGCCCCAGCTCCTGCAGGGTTTGAGTGGGCATCTGCAGCCACGGGAAATGTCTAGCAGTTCCAGAGGTTTGTTGGTTTTAAGTTGCCATAAAGCGACTGTGTTTTTGAATGTCTGATTAGTTTTATTCCTGTATGTTGTTTGGGCTTTACATGTGTGGATGTTACAGCCTCTTGTCTGTGATCTACATGTAGAGGGTGTTTTGGGAACTTGGTACCAGGTGCACCGCGGTTGCTGAAATGGCAGGATGTGGACACACGAGCTCGTGTCAAGTGGAAGTATGTGTGCGTGTGGCTTTTTGAAGTGGACGTGAGGGTGGGTGTGATTTTGGCAGGTGTGAATGTTTTCATTGTGTGTGATTTTGTGCCTGTGGGTGGCTGTCCTGGCAGATGTGCATGACTGAGGAAGGCACACGAAAGTGAAAACCAGTGTGTGGAGATGTCCCTGGTTGACCGCAGAGCTTTGCATGCCCCTCCCCAGACCTCTGCCCTTCCTGCTCCGTCTGCTCTGGCTTGTTATTTTCTCTGGCTCCGAGGCTGCCAGTAAGGATCAGGTCTGCCTGGGGGGCCCGGGGCTTACTGAGCTGAGAGGGTGATCGCAGACCCCTGACCTCTGCATCTTGTTTACTGACTCAGGCATCTTGTAAACAGGGACACCACATGGGTTCACATGGGCTCTCCCTGGCTCCCTGAGGGAACATGTTCCCTGGACCTTGTCTTCCAGGAGCCCTTGGGGAGCTTGTTCCCTGGAGAATCTGTACAACACAAACAGTCCTGGAAAAGCATATAAGCGAGGCTTCCTTCAATGTGGTAATTTCTTAAATCTGCTCTCCATACATTTACTTGCTTTCATAGATTTCTTGCAAAATTACCTCCAGATGTCACATGCGGCAGCCATGGGTGTATACTGCTAAGTAAGAAAGAACTTACTTTTTAGCTTCAAGGAGTGCAGTGAGCAGAAGCCTCAGCGGGTAGCACCTTCTGGCTCTGCCTTGGCTTCCGTGCAGAGGCCAGTCTCTTCCTGGGCAGCCTCTGCCGCTCACAGCACAGCAGGGTCACAAGGACCGGCCATTTCTGCCCAGTGCAGACTCTGTGACTGTGCAGTCTGTGCGCCAGATCTGCCCACTGGGTGGGCCAGGTCTTTGTAAGAGACACACTGCAGTCTGAGCCGCTCCCCATCAACCCTCCTTCCTCCCCTCCTTCCTTTCGCAGGAGTCAGATCAGCATCAAGCTCTGAAGGTGTCCCTACCGAGTTCTGCAGGTTCTTTGATCTTTTTTTTGTTACATCCCAACACACCTCTTGCACTCCTAACGCCATCCCACTGCTTCTTTGAAGAGGACACAGCTGATATGTCACATGGCTGAGCGACAATTCTTCCCCACCCGCGGAATCCTAGGAGACGAGCTCTGTGACAACACCTCTTGATGCGCACCCTCACCCGAGCATCTTGTTAAAAGGTGGAGTCTGACCCCGGAGCGGGGCTTAGCTGCACTTTGAACAAGTGCCAGGTGTCGCTGATGCTCCTGTCCAAAAATCACTCCCAAACCTCAAATAATGTCTCTGAAGGAATTATTTGCAGCACCTAAATGATGTCCCCAGAGTGAGACGTACAGAGGAGAACAAATGGGAGGCCTCTCGGTGCATGACTGGTCCTAGCAGACCACAGGAGAGTGTGCAGAGCCGAGAGAAAGATCATTAAGATGAGTAAGACATTGAAAGAGGAGAGCTGGGCAGGAAGGGAGAGGAAAGGGAGAAGAGGAGGAAGAGAAAAAAAAATCCTAAATGCCACCTTTCTCGATCCATTCAAATATATGTATTGAGAACCTACTCTGTGCAGGGCATTGTTACAGGTTCTGGGACTATACTGATGACCGAGTCACGTTTCCTCTGTGGGGCTGCACCCTGGGGAAGGCAGAGACACTGACTGAGCATCTAACTTGACATGGCTGTTTAATTACAATGTTAAGGGGAGCCATCTAGAATACAGGGTGCTGTGAGAATACTGGAGAGCCCAACCCCATCTAGGACTCAGGGCGTTTTCTGAGGTGATGATGGGGAAACAATTTGTTGCAGGCGGGAGTATGTCCCTAGGCCCTAGGAGGAAGGGACAGGGCTGGTTTGAGGAACTACAAGAAAGAGTGTTAACGCAGAGGGCTGGGGAAGAGCCAGACCCAGAAGAGCTTGCTAGGGCGTGTCCCACGGTCTCCCCACAAGATGTAACAGCACCCCCTTTCTTCTATCCTCAGATACTTTGCTTTGTCTCTATAAAGCAAATGTGCAGTGTGCTTTTTAAAAAAATCTCTCCATTGAATATTTTAGCCTCTTCTCCCTCTTCACTCCTACTGGAATATCTGTGTGTGTGTGTGTGTGTGTTTATATAGATACATATGTATCTGTCTATTGATTCCATCTATGAATAGTATCTATTATACCATTTATCCATCTATCAATGATTGTTAGATAGATAGATGATAGACAGATAGATAGAGATAGAGAAAGAGATAGAGAAAGAGATAGAGATAGAGATAGAGATAGAGATAGAGATAGAGATAGAGATAGAGATAGAGATAAAGAGATAGCCTGAAGTCAAGGACCATACTTTATACATCTCTGGTTTGCCTTATAACATCAAACATGATACCATATCCATACTGTGGATTTCAATTAGTATGTGTCGAATGCAATTGAAAAGAAAGGAATTCACCTGTGGAGCAGAGAGGAAGGGGAAACTGAGGGATAGGAATTGAACCATAATTTCTGAGATTCGCTCAATACTCACTAATTGTGTAAATAGGACCTCACCAGAAAACTTGAAGACTCATTTGGATGGCCGTCTAGGGCAGGTGGGGAATTCGGTCTGCTGTGGGCCTCTATTCAGGTTATAAGTTGCTGCATCATCTATTACTGCACAAGCTGCCCCAGCTTTGTGGGCGAAAACAACCTTGTGGCTAGAAACAATGTAATTATTTGAACTGTGCAATTTAGTTCCTAAGTTGAGAAGGTGTTTGAGACCTAAAGTTACTATAGCTGTGTTTATTATAAAAGAATAAACCAAAAAATATGAAACTTCATCTAGGTCAAGGGCTCCCCTCGTTGGATAAAATATTAAAGGACAGGAGGGGCAGATACAAGATTCTGTTGGAATTATGCCACTGGTCTCTCCTGTCCAGCGTCGATGTTGCTCCCCTGCCTTGGAGGGGGTGACAGACATGGGAACCTCGTCAGGAATGTGATGAGAGGGTCCAAGCAACGGCCTGGACTGACGCACCCTGCAGACCAGTAAAGGCTCTGAGCAGCCTGCCCAGGACCCAGGCTCCTCCCTTCCAAGGGGAAGGGGCTCTGCTGAGGGGACCATTCTCTGAGGCACCTCTAGGCACTGTGGGGGCTCCACCCCAACCCCAGGCCCAGCTGAGCCTGGATTTCTTAAGGAAGACAGGAGCTCTGTGAGCTGTTTCCCCAGCCCTTCCTAGCACTCTGCTAACCCAGCTATTTCAAATCACGCCCATCACCCTGAATCTCCTCTCCATCAGAAAAGAAAATGGAAGAAAACCACCATAGCTCCCCCC